AAATGCGATCCAGGTGCACCGCTTTGCATCCTGCTTCCGCTGCCCCTGCTCTGTTGGGTGAGTCCTCATCATATTGTATGGCTCTCACGGAATTACATTTTAAAATATGTGGTGTTCATGGCTCTCTCAGACAAAAAGGTTCCCGACCCTTGCTGTAGGAGATAGACAACCAGCCCTCTTCTGTTTGTTGAAGCCAGTGTTGTCCAAACTTGGCCACTTTAAGATGAATGGACCAACTCCCAGAATTCCCTGCCAGGCTGGCTGGGGAATTCTGGGAGTTGAAGTCCACTCATCTTAAAGTGGCCAAGTTTGGACAACACTGGTCTAAGCAGTTTTTCTTTCCCTGTATCCTCTACCTTGAATACTGTCTCGACAATAATTTCTGATTTGCCATGAATCTCTAGTTTTAGAAAAGTAGAAATTAGCATCCTTGGAGCCTCTGTAGCTCAACATAGTACTAATCAAATATCTCTGCAATTTAATGTGAATATAATTCTCCATCATGCCACTTTAGCTGTTTATTTTTCAATATTGAAGCTTGTGCCTGCAATTCTTGCCAAAACTGCTGTCTAGTGGCTCCATTCACGTAACATGCATGGTATAGTTATGGAATGACCGTTTTCTGCATTGTATGGTGCATTGTCACCATTTAATGACTGAATAGACTAGGTTTACACATCACTCTAACCTCAAAAGAAGCATGGCATGTTGTAAAAGGCATTTTCTAGGCCTTTGCCTGACTGGCTCATAAAAACAAAAAGCTTTTTGAAAGACAGAGAGCTCTCATGAGAGTCAGTAAACCTCAAACGCATAGGAATTAGTCTTCCTCCAATCAAACTGCATTGCTGCCTTTATTTAGAATCAAATATGGGTTGCAGACCATTGCCTTCCCAGGCTACTGGCAATCTAAAATTGGGAAGCTGGGGATGGATTGATGAAGGAAAAATCAGACATGGAGCAGGATTGGTTGAATGGACTTTAGGAAATGAAGTTGGTGCTGATGCAGTGAAAGTCATTGTTCTGATACAAAAATGGCTTCATGGAAATGGGTGTGAGATTTCTCAAGCCAGACCAAGGAGCTTGGTGGCATCTGGGCATGGGTTGTGGCACCTTCAAGACCAGTGGTAACAAACACAAGGTAAGCAGATAATGTGAAGAGTAGAGTCATGATGAAGATTTACAGATAAATATTGGCTTATGGAACTGAACTGACGAAAGAAGGAATGAGCGTCAATTAAGGAAAGAATGCTCCTTTACATTTTCCCATCATCTTTTTCTCTAAAGGAAGCTGAATTTCCATCTATTGTGGAAGACTTTGGATTAAGATAGCTGATGTTGTGCACATCACATGGCTCCAGCTGCCTTGTTTTTATCTCTGCAGAGGTGAGTGGCAAGGAAACAAGGAATGCTTTGGTCTTAGACAATTGCCTGCAAGATTCTAGGGTTCTGGGGTCAGTTTTGATATCTGGCACAATGAATTAGGAAGTGTTGAAGCATCTCATCTGGCATCTTTCAGGGATTGTCCCTGAGTGCTCTTTCGGATGCATGAAACAAGGAAGGCTAACGTGTTGATAGAAAATCAGAACTCTGTGACCGTGAGTTCTAGTTCTGCCTTGGGTGCAAAGCCAGCTGGGCAGTTTTGGGCCAGTCCCTCTTGGCCCTAGGAAAAAGGCAGGGGCAAAGTGCTTCTGATAATCTTGCTTAGAAAATTGCAGGGACTTTTCCAGACAGTCATCAAGAGTCAAGACTGACTTGAAGGCAGGCAGCCATGCATGCACAAGTGTTAATGAGCCAGTTGAAGGGTGTGGTATATTTCAGAACACGCCCTCCTGATGGCAAGTTCTGCTCTCTGAGGCTCCAGTTGCTAGGCTAAAATTGTCACCTCTGCAGTCAGGAGTTGCTTTCCCCTCTTCCACGACCTCCAAGTGCAGCCGTGTCAAATTCGGTCCCTGCCTGCTCGATGGTGGGGGCCGGCCCTACAGCTGCCACATCAGACTTGTAGTTCATGGGCCCCTGGTCCATGTTGTTGGACCTGGGGATAAAAAAAATGCTACATACATGGGTAAGGGTTGGCATTTCTCTGCCCATTCTGTAGCTTCAGTGGTTTCTCCAAATTACCTGAGAGGTTGTGTTTGGCCATTTTCATTTTTTTTTTAACCCATTTTGCTTTGAACAGGCACCATGGTTATGTATCTAGGAAGATATCTGTGGTAAGCTTCTGCCATTGTCAATACAGAGTTGGAAGCATTCGTAATTTCTTGCAATTACGGCCCTTAGTATATTTTCCTGGTACTTACTTTGAGTAGACATGCACAGGATTGGGTTAGAAATGAAAAGAATGAGGCTCACCAGTCATTCCTAGCAAGTGAGCTTGTTTGGTGTTCTTTGCCCTCCATGATTCTTTGCATGCAGAGTTTTGCCAAAGCCCTGTATTTTATTAAACTAGTACCATCTTTCCACCAAACTTTGAGGAAATCAAGATCAACAAGAATGTAAGAACCCAATTTTTTTTTTTTTTTAGAAATCTGCATCCACCTAGTTTTTTTTAGCATAAATGCCCCAAGCTTGCCTGCACAAAGATGCCTTTACTTCCTGGTGGAAAATCAACAGAGGTGGAACTAGCCTTACTTCCTTGACAAGCACCATTGAGAGGGCCTGAGCACCAAACATACCTGAGAGGGTGAGGTAACAGGGCTTTTCTTGGGGATCTGAAATCCTGGAGAGAACTAGGTCTCTTGGATAATAAAATCTCAGGTCATCAGAGAGAGAACCTAGAGGACAGACTGAGTTGTGGCTACACACTAAGCCAGGAAAAAATTAGTCAAGGTTAATGCTTGCCCAGCTTCACATGTTATGTGAATACAGCTATAACCTTGGAAGGTCGTGTGGTCTGGCCAGTTGTAGATGCCCACTTCCTGTGACCCAATCAGGACATTGTGTGAGCAGGGTCACTGGGTGTGTTCACCCTATGGGGGAAGCTCCATTCAGTGGCAAAGGGGACCAGGCAGGCCAGAGTCTCCCCTTACCTGCATAGCTCTGGGATTCAACATGTTGTCCCATTCCCCACTAGCAGAATTGCTCCAGTTCAGATTCAGAAGAGATGAGAAGCTGTAGGAAAATCTGGGACTGTGCCTTCTGGAACAGAAGAAGGGACTTTGGTACATTAAGTCCCTGTCATCGCTGAATGGCTGTTTGTTGCCCAGATGCTCATGCAACAGAGGTGTAATGTGGGCAAACCTAGAAACACCCAGTGCTGTTTGCACTGCTGTGTTCTGGATCAGTTGTAGCTTCTGAGTGGTCTTCAAGGGCAGCCCCATGTAAAGTGCCTTGCAGTAATCCAAACGGGAAGTGACTGAGGCATGAGTGGCCATGAGCAAGGCCTCTAAGTCCAGGAAAGAGCACGACTGGCACACAAGGCGAATCTGAGTCCAGGAGGACCCCCAAGTTGCACACCAGCTCAGTCTAGGGAAGTGCTACCCTGTCCAGAGTCAAAAATGACAGATCACCAGGCCTTGGTGGACCAGAAACCCAAGGCCACTCCATCTTGGGATTGAGTTGAAGTTGGTTCCTCCCCATCAAGACCCCCACAGGCTCCAGGCACTCAGTCAGCAACACAACAGCATCACCTGCCTGGCCAGGAGTAGAGATGTATAGCTGGCTATCGTTAGTGTACTGAGATACTGTACCCTGTGGAGTTGAATGACCTCACCCAGAGGTTTCACATACAGTGGGGCAAAAAAGTATTTAGTCAGCCAATTCTCCATCATGCCACTTTAGCTGTTTATTTTTCAATATTGAA